TGTTTCCTTATCCAGACTACCTTCATCCCCAATTAGTCCGGATAATCGAGGTTCTACTGTATATATATATATATATATACATACTTGCTGAATAATGCAATAGCTGGCTGAGTGCCGTTGTGGAGATGGTCTTAGGCCGTGGGCGATGGAGTCGTCCCCAGTCAGTGCCGTATTTAACCAAGTAAGGTTATATCTAATGTAATATACTTCTGGAAGAGAGGACTCGCTCGGGGTCTGGGTGGCGTAACTGGCAAGCGCACCGCACAGCAAGCGGAGGTTGTGGGTTCAAGCCCCGTCCTGGGCCGGTTTTTTTTCCAGAAGGTTCTAAATTTATTTAATAATTTATTTATTTAATTCTAATTATTAATTTACTTAAGAGATGGCACCTAACGTCTACCTCTAGTGCCAAATTAATTTATACCAATCATTTAATTAGCCTTAGTATAGCCCGATATTTAGGCGATCATTTGGTGATTTATTGTATATTACTCGGGCTTCGAGATGTTGTCAGTTAGACTCAAGTCAGTGACTGAAGTGTATGAAATGGTCCGAGTGTCATGTGGAGAACATCTTCATTGTCTTTTACAATTATTTTGTATACTTCAGTCACTGAGGTTTTGAATTTTGTGCCACTTGAACATTGTCAGTCTTGATAAAGTATTTTAGAAAAGATAAAAAATCATTGAATAGTAATGACAAAAGTTGCTCTCTTATGCACATTGTGTACATGTGAATCTGTAGATTGTATCAAGAGTATTTTGTTGAGGAGTTTGAATACTCAGTTAACAAAAATTAATAGTCAAAATCTGTCTCACTGTTTCTTAAGATTTGGGCAAATGAAAAGTTTTTGCAAGCTTTACACTTCTTGATGGCAGATGAAAAACAGCATGTCTCAATAGTTTGTTGTGGTGAATTCAGACAAAAAATGTTTTGAAATTGTAACAGTGGATGAATCTTTGTGCTTCATATACAGTATGACCTGGTTGAGTTGAAAAATCTGAAAATTCAGTACAAAATTACTTCTGCACTAAAATGCTGTGGTTTTTTCCATGATGATGCTGTGATTCATGAAAAATTTGTTCCAGAAGATCAAATAGTGAATGGAATATTTTACCTTGATGTTATAAGTGTAAGTCAAGGAGAGATTACATTGAAAAAAGTATACAATAAAAGTTTATAACATTACTTTTATTATTTCATCATTCCAAGAATTTTACACTATGTGAGTGTGTATATATTTTTTGAAAATTTCACTTCCTGAATACTTCAGAAGCTTGAAGATGCCATAATTTGATCATTAATTGACAATTAACCATAGTTATAAGTGATGGAAAAATTGAAAGAACAGATAGACCAAAATCCATAGGCTAAGATATATCATACAAAAACCCACTTTTGGACTAACATGGTTTTACTTCACGGTACTTGTTTTCATAATTTTACACTCGGTGAATTCCCTGCTAATTTTCAATTTTATAAGAATATTATGCATGCTGCCAATTTTGCAATATCTCATTATTTTTTAAATTAAAATTTTGCTTTTTTTTAACGCAATAAATGGTCACAAATCGAAGGATTTACAAATTTCGACAAAGGATTTCAAAGATATATATTGTGGAAAAGGTTTTTAAACTTTATAAATCCTTCTGTCGATACTTTAAGAAAAAATTAAGAGGGGAAAAAAGTGCAATTAAAATGTAAATTAGAAAATTAAGTCACTGAAAAATTAAAGTCTAATGCATTCAACGTTGCATCAATTTAGTTGAAGTGACTATTAATACTCTTTAATATATTTAAAAATTAATTTGCATAATTAAAATAAAGGAAAAAGAAAAGTTTTAAGTGAAATACTACAATNTTTAATTGATAAATTTTTAATTCTTGAGAAATTTAAAAACAGTTAGTATTTAATAAAACTTTCATACATGTTTGATTCCTTTAAAGGAATGTATTGTATAACAGTTTTATTATGTGCCATCTGATTTTTCTGTCATTACAATACATCAGATGAGATATGTACAACACAGCATTAAATAGCAGTATAGATACATTATATGTGAGGAATGCAAATTAGTTTGATTTCTTTTTTTCTGGTTCTAAATAATTTAAATTAGTTTTTCTGACCATTAAATTTTTTTACAGATGATAATATACTTATACTTGTCTTTAATGTCAAATTTACATATCATTGATGTTAGTACAGTTTTATCCAAATTATCTTATGGTTCAATTTATTGTGACTGTTTTATTCATTCTGTTTGGCTAATGCATTGCTATACAGTTGCACTTCAATATGATAGCTCTGAAATTATTACTAAATTGAACATGTTTTAAATTGAGTATCTCAGACAATAATAAGACAGTAATAAGTTTAAACATGAGTTGTAGACTTCATTACATTTGAAGTTTGAAAATCTTGTAATTTAATGATAAAAATGTCATTTGCAATGCAGTAGTACAGTACATGTAGTAATTCATAGCTACTGAGGGTTTTGTACTTAATATTCATGTGAAATTTATGGAAAAAGATTAACAAATATTCAATGATGCTTTATGAAAATAATGTTATTTAAATTTGTACTATATTGAGGTTTGTTTTTATTCAAAGTAATTATAGCAAAATAAAAAAATTGTTGATGTATTTTCTGAAAATTTATTTTGAGACAATATATTATTATTATTTTATAGAATTAATTCACATAATATTTCACATTCTCTTTGAATTATCTTTATTAAGTTTATTGTTGTATATTAAGCTTTATTAAGCTACATTAAGGTTATTTTTATGTCTTGATATCATCTCTACAAGTAGTTGTACCCATGTCTCAATAAATATTTTTCATGAAGAATTATAAAAATAATAGTTATAACTATTTGATGATAAAAGTTAAAAATTTAGCATCTTTAAATTTAATGAAAACGTATTGAAAATTAAAACAGAAGTACACAATATAACAGTGAAAAATATTATATTCTGAACATTATTTTTTTATCTGTTTAATGAGTTGTCTCTAGAAACTTCTGGAAAATTTATTCAAGATAATTAATCTGTAGGATTTCCATATTCTTTGAATAAAAAACCCATATATCTGTTGTAAGAGATAGCTGTAGCACAAGCTATGAGTGTTTGGTGTGTTTATGATAGTTCTGTATATCTATAATTCATAATGTAACAGATCTGTTTATCTTGTTGGGCTGCAATTTGAAAAAAATTGTAGACCTATAAATTCTCACTGTCATCCATCCGTCCGTCTTTCCTTAATCTCAAAAACGGAATTAGATGGATGAAATTTGAGACCAGATATATAAATTCTAGGGGCTCGATATATGAACTTTTGGTTTGCACCGGAAGTCACTTTATTTCAATTCAAAAGTTTTTCCTTGAAAGCAGTTAATAGATGATCAGCGTGGTTCTATTGTTAAAGGAAAAGTATGATGTACAGGGGCAAGATACTAATTTGAGCTGGAGAGCATATATTTTAAATGAAATAAATTAAAAATTGCAGCCCGGCATTGTGACAATCTCACAACAAATAATTGCTCATTTATTAATAATTGTATGGTAAAAGTAAATTTTTTAGATACACAATATCACTACAGCAAGATCAGCAATGAAAAATCAGCAATATCATCAATGAAATTTATTATATCTTAATAATATAGACATTTGTGATATAACATTTCAATTGCGATTGCAGATATGTTTGTTTTTGTGTGTGTCATTGTTCAAGGTAACTAAAGTTACACTTGTTAAAAGGCATGCTGATGGTTAAGTGTAAATTTGATGACAAGTCCTTTGAGAAAGTTTGAGATGCTGCTGAAGGAATATGCTGTTACAAAAAAAAACCACTTGTTCTATGAAATATTTGCCATTGACCCTACATGCTTTTTGTCAGTTGTCTGCTTCAGAGTAGACTAACTTTCAGGAAAATCAAGGTCAAATGAAAAAGGTTAGCTTACTGGTTGTGTTATAAAATGATTTATTTCTTAGTGTAAAAAGAATGTTGTCAATAAATACACCTGCAGGTTATATTAATTATATATGCTACTTATTTCAAATAATTTGTACTACTGTAGTATTAATCTGTCGTTCTGCTTTTGCATCCAAGAAATCTCTGGTCACTTTAATTGTAGGTCATAATGGAATAATTGATGTTTTCCATGGTGCATTAGTACCTTGTATTAACAAATTAATCAGTTAAATTTAAAAATTTTTATCAATAATTTTTTTATATTTATTGTGTACTATAAAGAAATAACTAACGAGGAGAGCCTACGGCTTTGGGGTAACGGATTTTGATGATCTTTGGTTTAGAGGTAGTACACCATGTGAGTGTACTAAAGTGCAATACTCAAATATAATCTAAATACTAAAGTGCAATACTCAAATATAATCAAGAAAATCGAACTTAAACTTTTGTTAGCACTTTATATATAAATTATACGTATTTCTATTTGAGCGTCCTGTGGCAGAGTGGTAACGAGTCCGATTCATAAGCTTGAGTTCTCGGGTTCGATTCTCGCGTATAATTTTTTTTTTAAATTTATAAATACTTATAATGTATTTATTTATTTACTCA